ACATATTTTTATTCTTAACTGTAGTAAAAAAAAATTGTGTTTTATTTTCAACTTAAGAGCACTTGCAAACATTCTCTGACTTGAACTATTTCAAATGAAAAAATTAATTGGAATTTGACAAAGATAATTTGGAAATTAAGTTAAGAAAATTGCATTCGTACAACTTATGATAAAGAACATGTGTGGTTAAACCATTTAATCAATTTAAGGTGACTTGTATGGAAGTTGCAGTGCATAATCGACATGTATGTTGCTGTCACGCTAACGTTCTAAAAATAACTGAATTAACTTGAAAGTAGTGCAAGTAGATGTAAGTTATTAACTACCCCTCAGCATCTTAAACAAGACAACTTTAAAATTAATTTCGAATATATGAAATTAATTTGTGACCATTCTAATACGATCTCTTAAGCAGATTTGTAGAACAATCCTTCTATTCGCGTATACAAAACAGACTGATAAGAGGATGTGTAGTGTGATTACTTGGTCCATATAAATGAAGAGCTTGAGTCACAAAGGGATTAACGTGCAAGACAAATAGGTAAGAGCAAGGAAACATTCGACTTTCAAAGGGATGTGGTAGTAAGTGCCCATCTAGCAGGAGTGTAATGATCCAAACGTGTGTACTTAAGTGACTGCTTAGAAAAATAAAATATTTCAACAGAGTCTATCAATAGTGTGAATTGAAATAAAACATTTCACATGTCTATCACCAAGAAAACTGTTGCTACCAAACACTTGTTACTGGCCAAAAAAATAGGCAATTAAACGATATAGTAAAATGCAACTGACGACAGTCTGTGTTCCAAATTCGTGTAACGCTTTGAGATTATTTGTAGACAAGTAATGAGTGGAAGCATGCGATGTGGTTTGGTGAGTCACATTTCACTCTCTCCTAAACTATCAGTAGAGTGAAAGTGTGGAAAAAAAACTACACACGTCGCTTGATCTTAATTTGATTGTTGCGACAATACAAACTGCTAAAGGTGGTGTAATGGCGTGGAAATTATTTCGTAAGAAAGTTGTTTTTTTATTCCTTTTGAAGGATGAATTGCATTCGGATTCTCCTTGAACTTCGAGGCCAATTATCTTGATTACATTTGAACCACGAGGAGCAATGGTCCTTTCAAGACGACAATGAAACAACCTACGCCCCCGTGTCTTAGCGGTAATTCTGAGAACTTATACCACTAAAAATCGGGTTTCGATACCCGTGTTGGACACAGCACAGATAGCCTATTGTGTAGCTTTGTGCGTAACAAGAAACAAACAAAAGCAACAAGCCACCACACCCATATTATCAAAACGGGTTCAAGAAACATGATAGTGATTTTGTTATCTAATTTTGCCAATTCTATCATTTGATCTCAGACCAACTTAGAATCCTTCAGGAGAATTTTTACTTTGCACTCGTCATCGCAATCCTCTGTCAAGACCTGTGGACCAATAGGAGACATTCTTCATTGACGAAAGGACTACGCCTGAAAAGGAAATATTTAAGCATCTTGTAGAGTCTCTGCTACATCGAATCCTGGTTATTTTTGTGACGAAAGGCTGTACAACTCGATATTAAATGGGAGTCCTGATAAAATGGCTAGTCATTTTAAGAAAGAGCTGATGAGTAGCGTTGCATTTCTCTCAACTTTCAGTGGAGTTGTTGATTAATACATACTTCAATATTTGAATACCAACAGATGTACTCAAAAAACATGCTTTTTTACAGCTCTTACGAATGTTTGTCTTTTTATTAAAACACGACATATTCACGTATTTTAGAACTATGTGGTAAACGATATTAAACTTCTATCAGTGAAGTAACAGAAGTCATCGAACATGCTCGGTCTGCAAGCGTTGTAATTTGGCGGACAATCCTATTTTTCGTTGCTAAAAAGTAGTCTAACAGTTAGCGGTGTTGGCTGACTTCTTTATCTCTATTTGTCTTTTCTAAATTAAGCACATCTAGCCTTTGAGTAGCTTTGCGCGAAATTTAACAAATATTTTCTCTCGTTCTTTGAAGAAACTAAAATTTTACTTTGATATTTCTTAAATTCGTACAAAAAAACGTAATACACATATTACTCAGAATTATGTACGTATACCTTATCGCTCGCTCATATAACTGTAAGCTATTTCACCTGTAATGAATTTTATTACCTTTTTTATTATTTATAAAGGAATGATATTTCTTTGAAATTTCCAACATTCGTGTAGTTGTTCCGCAGGCAAGAATGAAGAATCTGAAGCTGTTAACGTTAAAATTGTTAGAAAGATGAAATATATATTATTGCAGGCTACTCGCTTTGTGTAATTGATCAATTAATTGTTAAACATTAACTATCACAGCGAGAAAAAATAGAATAATGGTTAATCTAACATTCATCAATAAAAAGTGTTCGCTTATTGCAGCGTTTCCCGAACTTTTTTGACCACGGAACACTTTTCAGCTGAGAGAAAGCTTACGGAACACTAGACATAGATACATGAAATATCGGTATAGAGGGTAAGTTGCGCGCGCAGCGCCCTCTAGAGGTGTATATTATTCATTTATTTATTTAATCAAATTACATATTAATGAATTTTTACATTTTTATGCTTATAATATATTTTAGATACAAACCTGTCCACTAAGATATTATGTAGAATAGATATGGCATCTTCTATAATTCTTCTTCAATGCGAAATCGACATTATCTAATTATAATACATAGGAAAATATTTCACAATAACTTATGATCGTAAAAAAAAGTGTTAAATATTTTATTAAAATGTAAAATCATGATTTCCTCACGGAGCACCTATCAATCACGGACGGAACACTAGTGTTTCGCGGAACATAGTTTGGTAAACGCTGGCCTATTGAAAACCAATGTTTTTAAGAAACTCGTAATATATCGTTTTTGCTGCCATCTATCAGCAATCTCAAACACTATTCAATGGTGTTTTGTCAAGTACTAAAGGAATTAAAGTTATTTTTAGTGCTTAATATTATAAGTATTCCTCTTGCGCTTAAAATGAAAAATATACATATTTATTTTTAAGATAAAGTGCCTAATAACAAATCTATCGTAATTAATTCGCTTTTTTTTATTATTATTTTTTAAATTCAAAATATCGACCTATCACATAGAAATAGATTTCATTTCATACATAAGTCAAGATATATATTTTACACAATTCAATTAAGAGTAGCATGGAAGCTAAACATTTGTAGAGATTCGAGACAGTATTAAAAAGAAAAAAAATTACATGAATATGTTAGGATCGCAAAGAGCTAGAAATTAGTAGTACCAATTACAATCTTCAAACAGCTTTTTATAATTAGAGTATATTTAGAGAATATTTTTGTGAAAGTATAGTAGATAATATCGCATCTAATTTATCCCACAGCCGTTATGCTAAAAGTTCAAGCTAAATATTAGAGATATAAATTGAAGACATTACTGTAATAAAGTAACACTCTCTTTGTTTTTGTTTGTTTTGAATTTCGCGCAAAGCTACACGAGGAACATCTGCGCTAGCCGTCCCTAATTTACTAGTGTAAGACTAGAGGGAAAGCAGCTAATCATCACCACCAACTCTTGGGCTACTTTTTTACCAACGAATAGTGGGATTGACCGTCACATTATATCGTCTTACGGCTGAAAGGGCGAGCATGTTTGGTGGGATGGTGATTCGAACCCGCGCCCCTCAGATTGCGAGTCCAGCGCCCTAACCATCTGGCCATGACGGGCCTACTCACTTTGTATGTGTTACCGTGAGATTTATTTAAAGAACTAATCAATAGATGACGCTAAACACGTGTATATATATATATATATATATATATATTCCCAGTGGATTATCTGTGTTAAGCCTATCGCAGGGATCGAGCTCGAATTTTTGATTTTTAAGCCTCTCATTGCACCACCTGGAGAGCTAATTTTTTTCGATTTTTTTTTAAATTTAATTAGCTGTAGTTTATTTGTTGCTGTTGTTTAGTTTTTTGGGGGAAGGGTGCTCTTAGCAAGTAGCTTGCTCTTATCGGAAGTTAATATTGATCAGGAGACTAAAGTCACAATTGATACCAACACACTACAGGTGTAACGAAAGGCTTCACACTACGAACACCACAAAGTGTAACGAAGTGCTTCACACTAAATACTACAGAGTATAACGAAAGGCCTCACACTTTAAACACCCCAGAGTATAACGAAAGGCCTCACACTTTAAACACCACAGAGTGTAATGAAAGGTTTCATACTTCACACACAAATTCAAGAAACTTGAGAGTTGTACGTACATAAGTAAAAGACTCAACTGTTGAGTAAGAGAAAGAACTAGCCCTCCTTAACTAAACTGTTCTTCTTCTGCAACAAACTGGTTTTCTCTAGCTTTTTGAGGCTTATCGGTAATTGACACAACTATTTCATTCTTGTGAGTGAACATCATTCCACTAGAGGGCTAAAGTCTCATCGCATCAAAATCACATTTTTTATGACCATGGCTGGTCATCTGTTTTCTTTAAATTCTAATCAAAGTAAATTACTTACATGGATTAAAACTAAAAGAAAAAAGTAAGGAATACAACTAATTTGATATGTCGTTCATACTTATAATAATTAGAACGCATTGTTCTATCAGTTCGGCTCGTTCGATACGTTTCTGATAATTTGTGTGGTCCTTTTTGCCAAACATTTTCACTAAGACTTTCATGGCAGTGTCTCAGTTTTCAATCTCCTAATGTTCAACGTATAGTTGTTGTTCAAATAATTGATGATTATAAATATCCCAACAGGCCTGATGAGTCTTGATATTGGGTGAAAGCCTTCGTTGGTATTGGATATAGCAGATATAGTGTGGTCGACATATTAAAGCAACATTCTTCTTTATTTTCATAAAGTACACTTTATGCTTTAAAGTACACTTGCAGGCAAAGGAAACAAGATATTCACTAACTTCCCATTTCTAAGCTTTACATTTAGCCCGTTAGATGGCTCTCATTGAATCCTGGCTGTATCTTTCCCTGCGACATGGTAGTGATTTTAACGAGCATTTTTGGACAGTGGAGAAATTCCTGATATTTCCTAAAGAAATGGTAAAGAAATTAGTAGTATGTCTCACTATTTCTAGTGTTTATATGAACACCTATTCCAAATTAGTAGTATGTCTAATTATTTCTAGTGTTTATATGAACACCTATTCCAAATTAGTAGTATGTCTAATTATTTCTAGTGTTGATTGGAACAAATATCTGTAAATTAGTAATATGTCTCACTATTTCCAGTGTTGATATGAATACCTATTCTAAATTAGTAGTATGTCTCACTATTTCCAGTGTTGATATGAATACCTATTCTAAATTAGTAGTATGTCTCACTATTTCTAGTGTTTATATGAACACCTATTCTATGCATGCCTTGCTACTTTAGGATGAGATGAACATCTACATTAGGATTATGTCTCGCTACGTTAGGGCCAGATGTGACCTAGTGGTTAACATGTCAGGCTACAGATCAAAGTGTCTGGGGCTCAAGACATTATGACACTAAACATGTCTGCATTTTCAGCTGTAAGCGTGTTATAAAAGTGACAGTCAATCCTGTTATTTGGTTCCAAGAACTAGACAAATCGCTTTTGGATAGTTTTTCTTCCTCTGGTCAGTAGTTCAAAATTAGGGATGGATATACCTGAATCCCATGTGCACGTAAAGTTGCATTTAGGATTTAAATTCCAATTTCTTACAACGTCAAGTACTGAAATGAACACCTGCCTCCAAATTAGTTACACATCTTGCTATTTCTAGTTCATATTGAGTGAATAATGTTTGAAATTCAGTACTTACAAACGTCATCACTTTAAAATGTTTTATTAAATGAACAGAGAGAGTTCTATATTTTTATTTAATTTATTCACTGATAAATATATAAACATTGCTTCTTTTTTTAAAGTTTTTATCTGGATATACTAGGACAAAAGTGTATGGCTACCTATACATATGCGAGACGCGGTAAATACAATTGGAAATGACGTGGTATTGCACCTGACGGGTATAAAAAGCCAACACATTCATCTGGGAAATAGTGTATAGTACGATAACGAACCAATCAGAAATACCCGAGCTTCAAAGAGTGAATGTTATTGGTCAGAAAAGTTTGGCAGACAGATTGCATCAATTTTGGACATGACCAGAACTAGTGTGTAAGGTGTGGGTCAAGCAGATTCTATTTGTCAGTGCAACAAAATTTACGTGGAAGCTCACCTCGACTGTGAATACATTGCACAGGGGGATTTTTATACTAGGTCTGTATGGTGGTGCTGCAGTCCACAAGCCTCTAATCATGTCAACAAACAAAGTCTATGGCAGTGCACTGAATGCTAAACATAGATCTTAGACATATGGATACCAATTACGTACAGTGATGAATCACGGTTTAAGGTATCACATCAATGGGCGAATATGGGTATGGCTACAGCTACATGAACGCTACGACGTTGATTGTGTAATATCTGTGTAGTACTGACTGTAAAGCAATCCAGCAATTCTGTCATGATATGAGCATGTTTCTGTTGATATGGGCTTGGATATGCGGTTCTGGTCAAGAGTCATTTTATTACAGACAAGTACCTGGATATCTTAGACAATGCGGCACTCTCAACACTCCTTTGCTCTTCAAACAGGACGTGGATTTTTGATACATTGCCCTTATTGTCACAGACTGGTTTCTTGATAATAACACAAACCCAATGACCTGGTCAGCCAAGAGTCCCGATTTGAATACTGTCGACCCGCTTTGGAATGTCCTAAAGAATCAACTTTGGGCTTAGAATCTCCTTACGTTGGAAGAAAAACGACGAACAAAGGGTAGAGACAGTTATCCAAGCCAAAGGAGATCCAACATGAACACATTTGGCATGAGGATGGTACTAAACATTTAGCCATATAGTGTGTGTATGTGTGTGTGTATTATGTCTTTGAATATCTCGGGCACTTTGGATTTTGAAGCTGGTAAGCCGGGTTTCAGAACGTGCGATACCACAGCATATCTCCCCATTCTAAATTATGGGTACGTTATAAGAGTGACATTCAACTCCTTAGTTAACATGGATGGTTAGTAGTAGGTGCTGCTGTCATACCTCTGGTCAGTAGTTCAAAGTAAGGGACAGCGATAGATAACCTTAGTAGGTTTTCCATAAATACAAATGCAACATTCTTTCTTTTTTTATTTTCTGGAACTCTTAGTGGATCCAGACACTTTTCAAAGTAGAACCAGTCTGAGAATGTAAATTATATGTACAGTACAATAGAGCTGAGGGTGTAGATGGCGTGTACGAAATAATCGGTCTGATAATATAAATGGTGTGTACAGAATAATTGGTCTGATGATGCAAATTGTGTGTACAGTAGAAATGGTCTTATGATGCGTACATAATAATCAGTCTGATGATATAAAGGGTATGTACATAATAAATCGCTATGATGATGTAAATGGTGTGTACAGTAGAAACGGTCTTATGATGTGTACATAATAATCAGTCTGATGATATAAAGGGTATGTACATAATAAATCGCTATGATGATGTAAATGGTGTGCACAGTAGAAACGGTCTTATGATGTGTACATAATAATCAGTCTGATGATATAAAGGGTATGTACATAATAAATCGCTATGATGATGTAAATGGTGTGTACAGTAGAAACGGTCTTATGATGTGTACATAATAATCAGTCTGATGATATAAA